TCATCCGCAAGCACCCATCAGGTGAGGCTGGGAGAGTCTGGCTCTTTGTCTCCTAGAGCAGGGCCAGTGGAACAGTAGGGCCTCTCTGAGGAGCTGCTGAAAGCGCTGTGCTGGGGACACCCACACTGGCAAATGTTGCCCTGTGGCCTTTACCGAAGGCATCGCTGGTTTAGGGAACAGTCGGTGCCTCCAGTTTCTACCAGCAACGATGATGTGGCAAAGTAGCACCCTCCCTCAAACAGACTTTTCTTTCTTTCTTTCTTTTCCAGGCATGGATCCTGCCCCAGAGTATTTTCCAGAACTTGCAGTGCTCCCTAATTACCTGGTAAATGCTGAAGGATTATGAAAATGCTGTCATTTGTGTGAGAATGGGAGGGAAGACTGAAAGAAGAAAAAAAAAAGAAAAAGAAAAAAAATATTAAACCTGGCAGAACTCCAGGGTGGGTAATTACATTCTTTGGGGTGTGTACTCACCACACATACAGTCTGCAGAGTATTTTGGGAGCTTTCTGTATGAATTGTGCTAGAAAACATGGAAAATATTATTATTTTTTAAATATCATTGAAATTAGGGGTCTTCCTAAAGCCACAGAGGCACCCCAGCTCTGATTGCATTTCCCCCTCTTTGTGAGCTGTCAGCAATTCATTCTCAGATCATAAATTTGATAGGTTCCCCCTTCCTACTTGAATTGTTTTGTGCTAGAAGCGTAAAAATGTTCCAGCTAGAAGAAACACCACATTTTAAAGATGGAGACGTGAGCCCAGGGAAGGAAAGACTCTGCTAATGCTGCGGTGGCAGGTAACAGGAGATGGAGGATGAAACAAACGGGATCCCTGGACATGATCTCCATCCTCTTCCTCACCCCAGGCCCACTGTCAAGAGGAGTCAACATTTGTACCTTCACCTCCTCCAATCTCTTCATTTCATAGATAGGGAATAGAAAACCAGGGAAGAGATGGACTTGCCTCCCAAACTAATATGGGTAGGTGGTTGGATCCTTCTATCCCACTTCCACTTGTGCTCTGTGATTTGCAGGGAAGATCAAGTCCAGAGACACCTCCTTCACACCTTCCCTTGTTTTCTGGCCCTTGGAACAATGATACACCTAATATTTTAAAAACTCACAAAACCGATATTGCTACTTTCTCATGAAAAAATCCATCTCAAGATCTGCCAGCCTGGGCCGGCATTTCCAACGGCAATAATCAGTTGCTATTGAGTGCCTCCATCACCTTTGACAGGGGACACACAGTAACTCTCTTTGTCCTCATGGCCCTGCACTCACCCTGGCTTACTTCATTCATTTTCCCGCTTGGCTCAAAGAAGCATTTGAATTTGAAATCCTGCCCAACACCATTTTCCTTGATTTGCAGTGAAAAAACCTAAGCCAAATAAGTAAATCTAAGGCTATTTCGGCTACATGGTAATAGAACTTGAAGCTTGCCAAAGAATGAACCAGAATCAGTCATAATTGATCTGAGAAATAGGTGCCATGCTGTCTCTGGGGTGCAATTTGAGTAGCATTTGGAAGGCTGGTCTGTTGTTGCCTGGAATCCTTCCATTAGGCATTCATCCATCTGGACTTTAAGGAGCATCCATCTTTAGGTAGCCCATTGTCTAATATGAAAAGTCTTAAAAGAAGATAAATTGAATCTTTCTTCCATATCATATCATGGAGTAGGAGACTGGAACAGGATGCTGGTGTTGCCTGCCTCCCCTTATTGTATTTTCAGTCTCAATACTATTTATGTTTTGAACTAGAACATTCTTTGTGGTCCCAAGGTCCTGTGCATTCTACAAAGTTTAGCAACATGCCTCCTGGTCTCTGCCTACATGATACCAGTAGCACTTCCCCAGTAGTAAGGACTAAAAATGTCTTCAGGCATCCCCAAATATCTCCCCAGGAAGAAGCCATTTTTGTTTGAGAATCAACATGTAAAGCTAACCTTTTAGCCACTCTGAGCTTTACCAAATCTGTCCTTGTGGGGTGATTGGGCAAATGGAATGAGATGCCAGATGTCCAAATGCTATGCAAATCAGTGTGTCGCATTTCCATAAGGTGTGGTCAGCATCAATCCCAACAGAGTATGAAGAGTCCAATCTTTCTAAGACTAATAGTGGGCATGGAAAATTGAATTAAGGACTGTAAAGAGAGAAAGTATGATCAACCAACAAAGAAGAGCATCAGAATAAGTTGTTAGTTTTAACCTTTGGGGCTGAAAAAAAAATCATCTTCTATAATTTATCAGACTTATTTCTCCCCTTTATGCACATACTTAGTATTGTCACTGTCATACTAAAAATACCCCATAGCTCTCCAATGCCCACCAGAAATGCAATGACTTGCAAATTCTGGCCCTGACCTCTTCTGGGCTCCATGTTCCCTGTCCTCTTTTCCCAGTCATCCACCATAGGCTCCAGGCTCCCAGAGCATATGGAGTCCTCTCCTGCCTCCAGGCCTTGCTGATCTCTTCCCTTTGTTTGCATGTCTTCCCCAACCCTCGGTTTGGTTTCTGCCTGTAATTTCCTTATTCTTCAAAGCCCAGCACCTAGAAGTTGTGCTGAATTCCCACAGACAGGCATACAGGGACTTCCTTCTCTGCTGCCCACTGTTGCATTTCTGCCACTATTAGAGAACTTCACGTGGTCAGCTTTGGATGACAGTTGGCAGAGTTCATCTGTCTTCTTGTTCTACAACATCCACCTGCCTTGAGGCAGAGCCTGTGCCTGGTTCCTTTCCACATCCCCAGGCACCTGACTCCCTGACAGAAACAGAGCAGGTTCCACATCAGCATTTGAATTAAGAGAAATAGGATAAACAGTTGGACCTAAATGTAATTTGACCTAGATATCCAAGCTTGAAATGTGTAAATTCCATGTTTATCTAATAATTGAATAATTGTATATTTAATAGATCATGGGAAACTATTGACCATACTTGAGCAGGAGAGTAATATAGAACTATATTCCAGATATGTCTTAGTATATGGCTTATAATGTCACAGAAAATCCTTTTTCTTTGACTCCTTTAAACTCCCCCCCATCCAGAAAGCCAAACAATTCTTATGCATTACAGGTGGGTGGTGAAGTTTTGCTAATTAATCCTTGTATGGGGCTTTGAGATCTTCCTCTGAAAGGTGACAGAAAAGTGTGAAGCCTTTTGTGACAGCCTAATTATTATTATTACCAGGCACAAAGCTCAGAGAACTTAAAAGATCCCCAGGTACCATTCAAAATAGTAAGAGACAAAAAATGCAAGCGGAGGACTTATAAGATGGAATCCTTGGATCACGGACTCTCAGTATTGGTGAGAACCTTAGAAGGGGATCTTTCCACATTCTGTACTCCTAGTTTCCCACACAGACACTCACACAAACCCTAGAATGTCTTTAGAGCCTAATGATAGAGTTCCCCTGGTAAAATTTCCATCTCTTCCTTGTTAGCAATGGCAACTTGTATTTTCTTTGTCAATAAAATGGGAATGAGATGTCCTACCACAGGGATTGTTCAACATGCCATGTTTAGTATGGTCCCTGGCACTTGGCAAATGGCAAATAAACATCAGCTTTGAACATCATTCAAGTGAATTAACGAATATATGCGAAGGACACAGAAATCATTCAGCATTCGACCTCCAAGTTGTTCTTATTTTGGGGGCTATGTTGAACACGGCCTGATATTTCTTACAAATCCTAGCCCTTGTAGCTGTTGTGTAAGTGTGTGTCATTTTGCATCTGGGAGGAAGTGAGGAGTCTGCATAAAATGGCCTCTTCCAGTGGTAAAGAGACATCAGGCCAAAATCTGTTATTTTTTTCCAACTAAGGAAAAGGTGAACTTTGTTTTTCTGGATTATTTTAGGTTGGGGAGAGGTCCTAGCTAGGGCAGTGGGTCAGCTGGTAATGGTGAGAACCATTTCAATTCTGCAGGTTGGACTATGCATTTTGGTAGGTCTATGTCTATGTTTGAATCCTGGGAGCCTTTTTTTTTTTTATCTGTAAAACAGTACTCATGGCCAGTTCACGGGGTTAGCGTGAGGATAGAAAAATACTACTGTAAAGTGCTCTGTAGCTGTGAGTGACTGCTGCTTCACAACTCACATGATTTTCCTGAACAGTTGTTCTCTCTACAGGTTATATCAGTGAAAGATGTGGTCCAGGAGGGTCTGTGGAGTCCCAGCTTACGATAGTATGACCAACATTCAGAGATAACTCAAAGGAGCCTGAATCCTCTCACTAGAATCCCTGCAAAATGACTCATGGACTTGCTCAGTGTAAGTATCCTTAGTCTTTATTGTACGCCCACATAATTCAGATGCTATAGACTCCCGTGCAATACAGGAAAAGGGGGAAGGGGACCTGTTTTGAATGCTTAGGATTCAAAAAGAGCCCACCAATTCCACTTAAAAAAGCAGACCCCCAATTTGCCAAATCTCCCAGTCAAAACACCCACCCATCACACTTGAGCTTCCCATTGTTTATCTTACTCTCATTCTTCCTATGAGAGAGGGAAAGCTTTTTTTTTCCCCCTTTACATTTCTTAAGAGGGATTTCTAGGGTCTTCCCCTCAGGAATTAGTTGTAGAAATAATTGGGCCAGTGGAGTTCAGGAGATATATCGAGCACAGCCCTTGCACTCCTAGAAAAAGTGACCTAGATCAAGCAGCTGGTGAATCCAGGACTATTGTGGGGACCCCCTGCCACCTACTGACTTACAGCTGAACCCACATTCCCAGTGGCTTGGGCCTGGCTGGGGGCTGGGGGAGGGCTGAGAGAGCCCAGGAGTGGGGGAAGGCTAGGGGGACTGTGAGGTTGCCCCTTTTGGGAACAAGCACCCAGCATCTCCCTCACCCACCCACCTGTCCTCCAAACACACAGGAGGGAGGATGAGGTGAGGCGGGGTGCAGGGGTGACAGGTAGGAGAGGACTGCCCTGGAACTCTGAGCTGGCTCCGCGGGTATCAGCGAGAGCCTGCCGCCTGTGCGAGCGTGAGGGGGAGAGTGACAGAGCAGGGGAGGGAGAGCGAGCAGGCTGTGAGAGCGAGGAGAGGAGGAGAGGGGGAGCGAGCGCTCCAGCTAGCATGAGGACGGGCTTCTCTTTCCGTGCTCAGTTAATCTGGCTGTCAGTTGGTGTTAACGCTGCAGTTTAAGTGCTCGGATTCCAAGGGAAACAGACAAACCTCACAGAAGGAAGCAAGCAAGCGAGGAAGGAAGGAACCGCGGGAGCAAAAGAACAGGCAGAGCAGCGAGAGGAATAAAGGGAAGGGGGGGAGACACCAAATCTATGATTGGACCTGGGCTTCTTTTTCGCCAATGCAAAAAGGAATATGCAGCACATCTTTGCCTTCTTCTGCACCGGTTTCCTAGGCGCGGTAGTAGGTGCCAATTTCCCCAACAATATCCAGATCGGTGAGTGCGAGGGGCAGCCTGGGGAGGGACTTTCTGGATCTGGCCAGGAATTTTGGGGGTGGGGGAAATCTTTCTCCCCCTTCCTCAGTAGGAGCTGTTGTGCTTGGCTATCCCCAGCGCAGGAATCCACTTGGGCTGCCCGCAGGGGAGGGGAGGGGAGGGGGGCTTCATCTGATATGAGGAGGGGCAGAGGGGAAGTGTTCACACACACACAAACACACAGGCACACCACTCACACTCCAAGCACCAGCGGATGAAATGGAGGAAATGCTGCTTCGAAGGAAAAAAAAAAAATCAGGCTGTCGCTTGGAAGGGGGTTGTGGGTGCTTAAGGAGTTAAGTCCGTTGCTTAGTAGATGGTGCCTGATTTCATTTATTTATATAGATATGTACGGTGGGTGTGTTTATGCGTGTGGTTATGTATTAAATGTGCACATATATATTTAATTGCCAAGAGACAGTGATTTCTTAGCCGGGGGAGGGGAATGAGACCCTCTCCAAGAAGGAATCAAGGGTGTGGGTTTATCCTAGGTGCTAAAATAATGTCAGCAGCCCCACTCTGAAGCAAGGGAGCTCTAGCTCCTGCTCTGGAGAGCTCTGGCTGCCTTGTCTTTGCTGCCTGCCATGCTGGGCTGGTGCTCCCCACTCCCCCAATCTGGAAGTTACCAGCCTGTCTTTGCTCTATTCCTTCTGTGGCCCCCTCCTTGTAGACATTCGGATGGCAGATATTGCCCACCTTTGACACACGCACACACAGGCTCCTCTCCCCTCCCGTCAGCTGTCCTCTACACTGGGCTCCATCCTCCCAACTTGGAGGCAGGTTTCAACATGCTGCACACCTTTTGGTCCCCCCCCCCTTTCCCTCTCTTGCTGGTTGAGCTTCTTCTAAAAGCCCCCCCCCCCATCCTTCCTGTGTTGATGAGGGAGGTGACAGATATTGATACTTCTCATAATATGGGGTGGGGGGAGAAGACCAACAAGGGCACTAACACCAATCATAAAGCGTGTCCACAGGTCTCAGGGCTCTGGTGTAGCCAGCATTTCAGTGCTGTTTGTGTCCAGGAACCAAGCAAGCTGCTGTGCTCTGAGGCATCTGGGTTGGCTTGGTTTCTGTTTTCTGTCCCCCTAAATGAGATAGTTCCACTAGGGAAAGTTCACATTGCTGACAGTGTGTGTCTTTGTGTGAGTGTGTGTTTGTGGGGGGATGTGGTGCAGCTGGTATTTTGTCGGGCACACGTGTGCTGCCGTTCTGTCTCTTTCAGCCTCTCCAGCTATCTGGTTCCGAGGGTGGTTGGCTGGCCACGGAGTAACTTGCTTTGTTTCCTGACACCTGTTAAGCTACATTCTGAAGTGTGTATGTGTGTGTGTGTGCTCTGCTCCTGCCTTCCACGCAAAACTTCCTGCCTTCTGGAGACACTTCCCTTGCAGCCCAGCCTGCAGCCTCCTACCTCCACCCCTCCCACCCACTCTTTCATTCATTGCTGGCGAGGAGGAGGAAGGGGACAGAGAAGTGTTCTTCGGGGTGTTGTCATCTGGAAGGGGAGGGTGGAGCCTCAGGATCCAGAATGGTTGGTTGTTTTTACTCTTTAAAATGGGAGCATAGGTACATGTGCAATCCACTCGCTTTTATCTGTAGCCCTGTTTGTGTTTGTACTTATATATTGCCTATACTCTGCTGATTATAACTGCTTGTCTAGAGACATTTGGTCTGGCTTTCTCAGGGTGTTTGTGTACATCACCATGGGTGTAAATGCATGAAAATGATTTGTGTATGTGTGCATGTTGTTTGCTCATGTAGCTCTGCAGATTTTTCATCATTTAGCCCCAACTGGCTTGTTGAGCTTCTGAAAGCATTGTTCCTGTTTTCAAACAAAAGGTAGCAATGCTAAAATTGTATAACAAATACTAGAAGCACAGCCATCAGGCCGTACTTGACTCTACTTGTACGATCTCCAACAAAAACACTGCAATTCATTTAAAAAAAAAAATTAAAACAAACACATATTGACTATGTAAGAAGTTAGAGGTGCATGACATTAGGACTGTGATTCCTATGGGATCTGAGATAAACTTATCTGTAAACATTCATTATAGTTCAGTCTCTAGAAATGGCTGATTTTAATTCACACACAAAAAATGTAATTTAATTCATTTACATGTTCACAGTAAATATAAAGGTAAGTCCTGTACTCTTTTTTTTCTTGAGACAGGAGCTGTGACAGGCCCCTTGACTGTGCTTTTTACTGGAATAGAATGTTCATACCTCTTGACATTCTTAAGACCCCACATCCTTGAAGCACAAGGGTGTACCATGCAAACACCCAGTGGTAATTCCTTATGTAACAAGTCATTCTTAGGTAGCTGGGAACATGAGTAATGGAAAAAGCAAAACACTATTTGCAGAAATCAAGAGTTTTCAGAGAAAATAGATAATAAATCTCAGAGGCAATAGAATAGTTAAACTGCATGCAGGTCTTGACAGGCCAAAGATCAATAGTGTCAAAGCAAATAGTTATAATGTTAGAGAAGTCCACAAGGTCCCAGTCCTAGTTTGGAGTCACTTTGCAACACTTATTAGCCCCGGCATCCAGTAAGATCTGTGATCAGAGACAGGGGCCATGCAAGACAAGTTAGGGTCAGATGGGATTTGTGTGTGTATGGGAACATAGGCCTCATGGGCAGTTTGCACTAGGGAAGAAGAGAAGTGTCACGGGTCTCCTGTGTTCTCTTTAACCTTAGCTGAGCTGAAGGATGAGCAATCAGATCTTTGAGCAGAGTGATAGATGTTGGGGATCATGTCACATAACGGCTCATCTGTAGAAGTTTAAGCCTCAGCATCCATTTGGGTCTGTTTGGACTCTCATTCCTACCTCTAAAAAACTATTACTAATGAGATTGGCAGGGGAGAAGAGGGCTTATGTGGGGGTGGGCTGATGAGGAACTAAAATCTGTCTCTAGCCTAGAGACCATGTTGCATTTTCTTTCCTCCCAGGGGGATTATTTCCAAACCAGCAGTCACAGGAACATGCCGCTTTTAGATTTGCTTTGTCGCAACTCACAGAGCCCCCAAAACTGCTCCCCCAGATTGATATTGTGAACATCAGCGACAGCTTTGAGATGACCTATAGATGTAAGTAATTGCTTCTATTTCTGAGATTTCTTTCTGCGCCACACCAATGAAAGGAGGGCCTGTGGGTAGGTGGTGGTGGTGCCAAGATGACTTGGGTTGTCATTTGTCTTCATAAGAGAAAGCCCTCCAAGAAAAATTTCCAGAGCCTTTTAAGTGATTCCAGCAGTTGGTATTTTAGATCCTGCTATGCTTCATGAAATGGATTTGCTTTTTCACTGTCAGCTAACTTTAAATGCCAGCCCGAGGAGTACTTGGGTTGACTGCATATCCCATACCTTGCTGAGGTTTTCTGGTTCAGCTGAGAGAGTTTCACATGTAGGAAACTTCTGAGAGATGTAGAATTAAAGATTCTGACTTTAGAAGAAACTGTTCAGAATATTTAAGCCATGTCCTGTCCACAAGTTGAAAAGAGAAAAGTGTCTCTATAGCTCCCTAAGAAAGGTAGATGGTTTCCTATTTTCAGAAGCGACCAGTAATTATTAAAACTTGTTTCCTTACTTACAAAATGGCTTGAAGTGATTGATTGCTTAGAACATATGTAGACATAAAAAAAAAAGAATCTGAAAAATTTACACAGTTTGTATGACAAGCTTTGAACATCAAAGAGTACAGGGGTGGTCTCAAGGAGAAGGGATAGATATATTGTTGATCTCTGAACTGAATGTTATAAAATGTGGGCGACAAGCATCATTCTGAGTTTTTCTGGCAAAAAAAGAAACCTGAGTGGTTGGTTACATGATTGCCACTTTATGTCAGAGGAAAGTACAAAAATTAATCCTTAAAGACACTTTCTCTCTAGGGATTAAGATCAAATAGGAATTAATGGCAGGAAAGTGCGAAGAGAATGGGCAAGAACAATTTAGATTCCAAAACTGGATCCAATTGGCAACCATGGACTTTGTGAGTCACTATTGGCTTGGAGACGTCTGCTGAGCTGGAGATGGTGGAAGGCATGAACCATCTTTCATGGCCTTCTCTCATTCCCACACGGGGGGGTTCTCAGTGAGTTGAATAGTCTTGGAAGCCTCAAAATGAGAATCCAGAATTCTCCCTATCCCCTAAGAGCACTCCTATGATAATGATGATATGAATTCCAAGAATTATATAAATATAATATGTAAATTAAATAAATATATATAAATATAATCTGATATAAATACCAGGTTTCATTATTGAGGACTTACTGTACATTAAGAACAATGATAAGTTCTTTATGGATATTAAGAGTATTACCATTTATTAAGCATTGCTACAGCCCATGTAAAGTACTAATTGCTTTTTTGTGAGTTAGTTCATTTACTCTTCACAGAAGCCTTTCAGAGAATTCTATATTATCTTTCTTTTAGAAATGAGGAAACTGAGGCAACAACAAGTTATATAACTTACCCAAGGTCACTTGGGAAGAAAATGGTGGTCTCATGACCCCCAAGGTCTATATCTCTAAGCTCTGTGATAAATATGTTGATCCTTATGGTAACTTAATCATCTAAAGTGCAATTACCCAAGAAGTAAAAAGGAATTTTCAGGATCTTGTAAGTCAGTGGCCTGATAAAGCATCTAAGGAGAAACACACAGAGTACTTAAAACTGTGGCTGTGATTTTGCATAGGAGCACCATTGAACTAACAAAATAGCAACTCTCCATTTTAGTAATGCTAAAACTAAAAATCTCTTCTACTGGGCTACTCCATGCTCCAAAAGCAAAGCCGGAGTTTAATTGTTTAATTGGTAGAGTAATACAGAGTAGGTATTTAGCTCTCAGATAACCATCACTTTCTTTTCATATGACTTGGAGTAGGGTCTCTGAAGAAAGGATGTAGGTGTGGGCATCAAGGTATCTATAAACTACTGTGGATTATGCATAGTCTTTTGCATGCATATGCCAGTGTTAAGATATTTCTTGGGGAGAAGCATTACAGTTTTTGTCATATTCTGTAGTTTTTAATCATAGTCTCAAAGGGGTTCATTTCTCAGGAAGGAGTGCTTTCTTAGAGAATCACCAATCTATGGCTGCTATGTGCATTCATTCATGCTGCTGAGAATTGTCTACAGCAGAGCGTGGTGGAAAGAGAGGTCAGCTGCTTTCTTGGAGTCAAGATGTTGACTGGCAGGACAAGATAATAAAAGACAAAAATAGGAGAAAATGTTCTAAGGCAAAAGGTGGTGTTTTTATACTGTTATCTTCACAACCTAAGACTTGATCTCTAATAGAATTGTTGGCTGTTTACCAGGGTGGCAAAAATATGGTACAGGCAATGTTGTACATTATGGCCAGTGAATATGGAGAGGATAGCTCTGGGTTCTTGAAATGGTACTTGCCGTATGTATGTTTGTGTACAGGTCTCCATGCCTTTCAGCCTTATTCATTGGCTATTCTTTAAGTGTTTCTTAAAGCTGTGAACTGAGATGGAGGTTGGAAATGAAAAGATGATAAAATGCTTTACTTAAGAAAGTAGCTCATACTCCACTGGAGGACCCTGGTGTGGAGATTGTCTGAGAAGGAATAATGATATTTTGTTTATAGAACTTTAGTTTCTTCTTTTTCATTCCAAGATCAGAGGAAGTACTGGGCAATTTGGGTGGAAACAATGGCATTGTAATTCCTGGCCTTACCAAAAGAGTCTCTATTAATTTTCATGTAAGGCTTGGGGACTCTTTGGGGGCATATTCGCCATGGTCCATTGGTCTGGGAAAACTCTACATCTGTCTCAATTTGAATGCAATAAAAAAACATCAAAGGGAATAGAGTGGTTTGGGGCAAAATAAGTTAATTAGTCACGCATGGAAAACCAAGAAAACTATCTTATTCAGATTTAATTTTGTGTACTTTTTTGAAATATGGATTAGTAGTTACCTTAAATTAACGGTTCCAGCTGTTCTTACCTCCAAATGATCAAATATTATTTTTCATAATTTTTGCTGACATCTGATTTTTTTTCTATGCATTTTGCTATTCATTATCCCTCCACCAGAGGGTAGAGAAGGGAAGGGAGAAGAAGTGTAATAGGAACTATTCTTATTAGATGTGTTAACAACAAGGCATTAAAAAAAGAAGGTGGTGAATATAGGGTAGCAGATCAGAGGATTCGCAAGAGGAGCATTACTATTAGCACTGGCCAAGGGGAGAGCTGGGAATTGCCTTTGCATTCACTCTTTTTTTTTTTTTTAATGTTGGTCGTTCAAAACATTACATAGTTCTTAATATATCATATTTCACAGTTTGATTCAAGTGGGTTATGAACTCCCAATTTTACCCAGTATACAGATTGCTGTATCACATCAGTTACCCTTCCATTGATTTACATATTACCGTTCTAGTGACTGATGTATTCTGCTGTCTATCCTATTCTCTACTAAGGCAGACCTTCCTTCAGCAACCCAAATGACTTGAGCTCTCCTTTCAGCACACTCCCAAGCCCACAAAGGCAGGTTGGGGGAAGCTGTCTCTAGAGCAGTACCCGTGCAGCCTAAGAAGTGCCTTTGTGATAAGTTTAATGAATGAATGAATGAAATAATGATGGAGTTCTGATTACAGGTCTGAGATGCATTATTGCAACTCAATTCTTACCTTTCCATTCACTCTGCTATTTATTCACTTGTTTAGCAAGTACATGCTCAAAGTCCAATCACTGTGCCTTGGAATACAAGGGCCCACAAAGCCTACCCAGCCTCTTTCCTGGTAAAGCCTACAGTTTAGTCCTCAAACTTCAGCATACATAAAATTCATTCAGGGAACTTGTTTCAAGCAAGACTTAGGAGCAGACTCTCTATTTCCTGAAACAGAAAATTTAAGAGTAGGTCATGGAAGGATTCTGTAATAGTTAGTATGAACATCACACTTGAAAGAACTCTTTTTATCTAAAAACTTCTTCCATTTCTTTAGTAAGCAGTTTTGAGCCTTTAGCCAAACCAAGATATCACATTAAGTGCCAGAAAGGCAGACAAAACTTCCCTGCCCTGGAGGACCTTATCCTTAGTGAGACAGGCTGTCCTGTAAAGAAAAAATGAAAATGTAATGTTTTAAGTGCTAGGGCTGCAATTTGTTGGAGATACTTGAAGGCGGGGGCTTGCCCTTCATGGAGTGGTGGTTGAACTGAATGGTAAACAGAAGTTTTCCAGAAGGTTAAGTGAGAGGGCAGGAAAAGGGAAGAGGCAAGTGTTTTCCGGGCAGAGAGGATGGCAGGTACAAAAGGGTGCCTTACCTGGCTGCGGTTTTCCGCTCCGACCTCCAGTGGCACTCCATGGCGGGCTTTGCATTTGACTTTTGTCAAATGCTGCAGAGGAGGTCACCAGAGGGCCTCCCCACAAGTCATTTCTAGTATAGATGTGCACTTTGGGGGCTCACTGTGCAAGAATGATGGAATTTCACATCAAAACTTGGACATCTTGCCTTTCTTAAAATTTGTAGGGTCAAATCAGGGAGGGTCACATCCCTGATCACAGTGGGGCCTCCTTTTATTATATACCTCCTTGGAAAGCTCAGGGACTTTCTCAGGCCAGCCTCAGAAACTTAGTGAGACCCTCAAGATGCATTGCTCATCTTTTCCAGAGTTACAGACTAACAGCCTTAATTTGCTTGACCTGGGCAATATTTTTCAACATTTAGCATAAAAATCTAGATTTCTGACTTCTTTGAAAAAAAAATTTAGGGCAATAAGCAATCCTGGGCCCACATTCCTGCTCAACTTCTGTTGTCTAGAGCTGGAGAAGTTCCATTCTCTTTAAATATCAAGCAAACACGTTCAAGTTCACCAAAATTCTTACTACTCTCTGTTGAACACGTGACCATTGTTAACCCAAATTATATTGCTTGTCCAGCCTTCTAAATAAGTCAATTTGCTCACCCCTGATTTATATCCTTTATCTTCTGATATTTTATTATCTAATTCTAATATCTATTATTCACCCTGTAAAAATCGGTAAAGGACACAACATGCTCCTGCTATCAAAAAAATTAGTCTGAATACAGTAATGAAGAAAATAGTGTGGCCAGAAGGGGGA